TACAACTTTTGCACATCAAAGCAGTCCAGTGACCCGGAGTAAGAACACCCGTCTGAACAAAAAACGACCACGAATAATCTTTTTGCCTAGCTTTTTTACTTTCTTAAAAAACTACCATCTTGGAACTCGGATCTCACAGCGATAGGTTTGTCCAAGTGAAGGGAAAAATGCCTGCTGGAATGCACTGAATAATGGTTTTGCGCAGTCTGACATTTTAGAGGTAAAAAAGCACAGAGGAAACCAAAAGAAAAAGTCGTCTGACTGCAATTCTGACATTTTTCTCTCATTCTCACTTAAGAACATGTAAACAGTTGCGCTTGCATGATATTCATTTCTTTCTCGGCGCATAGAAAATTGTGCAGTTGTGTTAAATTGTGTTTGCAATGCTCAAAGCTATTTCAACGTAACGTATTTATGGTGGACAGTGTCTAACAAACCGCACTTGCTGGCTCAATTGGGAAAACAATTCGGTGACTTCGGCCAGATCCTAGGCTCCCTAATAGAGGGCAAGATGTGCATTTAACCAGCATTCTTACCATACAAGCCATATGATCCGATTAGTCATCCTCGTCATTCGCGTTTTTTTTCCTCTCATCTACCCACCGAGTGTATCAGTCATGTTTCTTTCAAATCTTTGGACCGTGTCAGTATTTCGAAGAAAAATGTGTAACAATTCGCTAATTTTCTATAAATTCTCCTCAAATCAGTAAATGTAAATGGGAATTCTATAGAAAAAAACACACCAGCTCTTAGAGAAGGTGATTAAAGTCAATCGGGTTGTGCACACAGAAACATATCGTACAAGATGCACTCTCTGCGTGGTTTAAGCTCTATTAGTTTCATGCAACGCTCCCCTCTCCTGCCATTGACTCCGTATAGCTCTCACTGCCTGTTATTTATCCCTCTCAGCCCAAATTGCCAAACTCCGTGTTTAATTATACTTTGAGTCAATATCCCGTCGTAACGCGTACGTCAACTATCAATTATATCGACAATTAATATAGTACGACACTATTAGATAAATAGAAGAGAATGAACC